CAAACACAAGTACTTCTCGACCTCCTATACGCCATTGAGTGTGGTAAGGAGTGGCCATCATCCCTACTGGTAGGACTAGTCCATAGTCTAGAAAAAATCCCAAACGCCTCAAAAATTTCCCAGTACCGGCCTATAACCCTGTTCAGTGTTATATATCGATGTTGGTCATCCATCAGGTCTCGTGAGATTCTTAGGCATGTTTCTCGATACGCCCCAACAGGATGTTTCGGAAATGTTCCAAATAGATCGGCATCGCAAGTCTGGATGGGAGTTCAAACTGCCATTGAAGCAGCCAATCATGATTCAACAACAATCTCAGGGGCTATAGTTGACGTGGTTAAATGTTTCAATCATCTACCACGCATCCCGATGATGGAGGTTATTACACATTTAGGAGTTCACCCCAACCTGGTATCAACGTGGTTTCGGGCACTACAAGGGATGGTCCGCCGATTCAGCATCAGGGGGTCAGCTGGACCACCCATAAAATCCAGCACAGGATGTGCGGAAGGTTGCGGATTAAGCGTGGTAGGGATGTTTGCCATAAATTGCCTCATCGATTGTTTCATGAAACACCGAGCCCCTGAAGTCAAACTCTTGTCTTTTGTTGATAACATGGAAGTTATCTCCAACAGGGCACACCTGACACGAGAAGGTTTGTATCAACTAAGGAGAATCACCGAACTTTTAGACATTCAACTCGACGAAAAGAAGACAGTTGTTTGGTCAAATGATAAAAAGGAAAGGAAATACCTCCGAGACAGTGAGCACCAAGTGGCAATGTGGACACGTGAATTAGGAGGACACGTACAGTTTTCCAAACAAATGACAAATAGTGTCATCACTAACAGAATCAAGAATTTCAAGTCCAGATGGCCCGACATTGCCAGATCCCAAGCACCGTACACCCAAAAACTGAAAGCCATTAAAATGGTGGCATGGCCCAATGCCCTTCATGGAATAACCTCGGTCCACTTAGGTGATGAACACTATGAACACCTGCGTACTGGAGCACTGCGGGGACTTGGGGAACATATGTGGGGGGCATCACCCGCCATACACCTTAGTCTAGTGGAACATCCTTCGGCCGACCCTGGTTTTCATGGAGTCCTCAAAACAGTCATGGACTTCCGTTCCATGACAGAAGCAGATGCCTGCATTCCAGTATTGACCAAACTCGCTGAGCCCAATGACAGGAAAAAACCAACAGTAGGGCCGTGCAGTGTTTTGCTGCAGAGGCTGCATGCAATCAACTGGCACTGGGATGATGATACCTTTTGGGACCACAATGGTTTCGCAATTGACTTATGGCAGCAACCAATACAAGACATCAGACTGCGCCTGACAGAAGCGTGGCAAACCCAAGCGATGCATCATGTTGCACACAGAGCCTCATTCCAAGGGATTTCCCAAACTTCACCATACCTTACTACAGCAAATTTCCCGCAAAATTCCAGTGATGCCAGCATACTTAGGAAATGCCTCAACGGCACCTTTTTCACTGCTGACCATCAAAAATATCGGGATGCAGATGAAAGTACAGATTGCCCTTTTTGCCATAACGCAGACAGCCAATTTCACAGACATTGGGAATGCCCAAGCCTGGAAGATGCCAGAAAATCTATGCCTGAACACCACCGCCAACTGGCCATGCAGTCGCACCCTGCGACTTTCAACCACGGATGGATTCCAGCACCTGCAGCATTGCCTTATTTCCGACAAGCACTTCACAATATTCCTGACAACACCCATAATTTAATTATTCCCGAAATAGTCCCACCCACTTTAGACATTTTCACAGATGGGTCATGCCTTAACCCAGCCTGCAAAATGACCAGACTAGCATCTTGGGCAATTGTCCTTTACACGCCAGATAACCAACATGATTTCACACCAGTGGGAGCAAGTGTATTGCCGGGCCTGATCCAGACAATCACTAGAGCTGAACTGACAGCTGTCATAGCTGCTTTGATTCTTGCGGATCGTCTCCGTAAGCCATTTCGGTTGTGGATTGATAATGACTTTGTGGTAAATGAATTGCGACAGGCTTTTGAAACACCTGATTTTTTCTTTTCCAAGATTTCTCACAAAACTGCCAATCATGATTTGCTATTGACCCTTCACCTGTGGGCCCACCGAACCAAACTCTTGTGTAAGGGAATTCTCAAAGTTTACAGCCACCAAGAGAACTATGAAGACGCAGACCCAGCTACTGAATTTGCAATCGCAGGTAACGCAGCGGCAGATGAGGCAGCAGGGAAAATCTGCCTTAGTTTTCCTCATGTACACAAACTATGGAAAGTGGTATCCAAGCAGGTTCGAGAGTTAGTAGCATTTCGTTGTTCTTTGCACACCATGTTTGTACAAGTTGGGAATCTTGCTTTGCGTTTAAAATCTCACCAGTCACGGGGAGTCTCTGTGGCACAAGGGCCGACCCACTCAGCTGAAACCATAGTGATGTCTCACTGGCGAGTTAGCCATTTGGGTGCCCCGCTTGCACCCTACATCACTGAGGACTGGGGTAAGATAGCGCAATGGATAGATACTATTCATGAGGATGGACAACCGATCCAGCTGTGGTCTTGGTATCAGCTTTATCTTGATCTTCAGGTATGTTACCCAAACACATCCCCATGGTATAAGAAAACTGTTAAAGCATGGCAAAATGGCCGAGATTGCCCGACAGTGCCTTTCAGGAAAAGGTGCCGATGGTTCATGAATTATGTCACACGCACATGGAAACACTTGAAGGTAGAGCTCCCCCTGCGACTTTGCAGGCCAACCTCTGACGTCTTGCAGTTCTGGTGCCCTTGTGTGACGGTCATGGTAAGTCCAGAACGAACAGCCGCAATTGACCAACAACTCGCGAGCTGCCGTGCACGATACGTGGAGTGGAAGGATCTCGATTTCTTCGGCATGTAGAAGTTTTGGGGGCTCAATGTAGTCCGCTTCGGCCGTCTACTTTGAGATCAGCAGGAAAAGTGATAGGAAAAGTGATAATATATTATAGATTATACAAGGTGAGCCTAAGGTGAGCCCTCCCAGATAGCTAAGTTAACTTAACTTATATACAATTTGATGACCTAGGGTTCATGGGGACTATATCTTATAGTTAATGGGTTTACAAACCAACTTATACAGTAACTGGGGGGGCTCACGTTCTATGTATTTTACATCAAACGATTTAGGTTTCAATTTTCTTCCCTATAGGGTTTCAAACACCTTCTGAGAGTGTATTTGGGATTGGTCTTTGGGGCCTAAACACCTTCTCAGATGGTATTTCAAACACCTACTACTTGTATCAGTGCGGTTGACCGTTGTACACTTAGCCTGGGATATGCCTCGAAAATTCGTGGATTGGTATTTTGTCAGCTGAAGCACCAGTGCATGGGAAGCTCTACGTAGTGTTGGTGTATAAATTATACAAAACTTGGTTATTGTTTTGGAGATTTTTGGAGTGTTAGAAAATATCGCATATGGAGCATATGGCTGGTGTAATCCCATCCCCCTAATGACTTAGTCTTTGGGGTACTGTATTTAATGTTTATACTGTTTATAGGTGTTGTGGATAGGAATATGCATCTACCGGTAAATTTCCAGTGGACAGCTTCTCGCAGAATGAGGGCGTAGCAGCGTCGTAAAACGCGCAAGGTCAGCTGGAACCTTTCCACAGTTGTGGTTGCCAGCGGGCGCACCAGGCGCCTGGTAATTTCGTGTGTTTTCTGTGTTAAATGGGTGAGGGTGATGTTAACGTGCATTGGACTTGCACACATACGTGATGCTACGTTACTGCACGTTCTCTTCAATTTACACAACTACGTGATGCTATGCTACTGCACGTTCTCTTCAATTTACACAACTACGTGATGCTACGCTACTGCACGTTCTCTTCAATTTACACAACTACGTGATTACGTTGACTGGGGTGGGGGGGTGGGATGGGTGAGGGTGATGTTAACGTGCATTGGACTTGCACACATACGTGATGCTACGTTACTGCACGTTCTCTTCAATTTACACAACTACGTGATGCTATGCTACTGCACGTTCTCTTCAATTTACACAACTACGTGATGCTACGCTACTGCACGTTCTCTTCAATTTACACAACTACGTGATTCTACGCTACTGCACGTTCACAGAAAAGTGAAGACTTTGGTGGGGTCAGAGGTGAATCCATCTCTGCGACGTCGTTGTTTCCAATATGTGTGGAGATGTAATCTCCAAACTTGTACACCACTGGTCATGCTGAAAGAGCTGGCAAAGTTGGTGAAAAACAACGACGCCGACAACTGCTAAAAGAGTTGAAGAGAGACGTTTTGATGCAGAAACGCTATAAAAATGCCAGGCGCCTGACGCGCCCGCGACCTAGTGGTTGTCCCGGAGGACCTATGCGGTGAAAAGGAGCTGGGCTGAGCTGCATGTGGTTGGGATTTGATGAAGGTCCCATGATGAAGTTACCCTTTGGTGTACTAATATAGCTGTAGCATCTGGAAAATAGTAAATCAAAGAACTAAATGCTCGTTTTCAATGGCTATGTCATGTTTTTTTTTCAGCAGGTATATTAAATTGCTATTATAGACAATGGGTTGCTTTAAGTATTTCCTAATTTTTCTTATGTTCAAAAAAACACGCTACTTGGGCTGCTGATCCTGATTTTTTGTGATAGGGCGAAAGCAGAAATCACCAAAAAATCATGGCCATGTAGACATATAACCCCCCAAAATTGGTGGATGTGCCCTTTCATGTAAACACCTGGTTGGTGGTTTGGAACTGTTTTTTTTATTTTTCCATATATTCGGAACGGTAACCCCAACTGACGAACTCCATCATTTTTCAGAGGGGTAGGTCAACCACCAACCAGACACAAAAAAGACATCTATAGATTATAGTAAGATCAGCATTTTGTATCATTATTTATATCTAGGTATATCTAGGTAAATCATAGGCCCTGGTGACCAGGTTAGGGGTTGATGCCGCCATGGCCGCCATGGTCGCAGGGAAATGGAGATGCCAGAGGTGGCCGCCGCTAGGGTTTTCAAGCTTGAAAAATGGTGAAACATGGTGAAAACCTATGGAACAACGGTGAAAAATGGAGAATTTTCCGATAGTTTCTATGGTGAGAAGCTATGAAACCCGGCAGTTTCCGGTGAAGATCTAATTCCCCACCTGCCAGGACAGGGTTGTTAGATTTTATCAGAGTTGTTCTTCTCATTCTCCTCCTTCTTCTCCTCCTCCTCCTTCTCCTCCTTCTCCACCACCTCTACCTCCACTTCCATGTTCACTTCCGCCTTGCCAACTCTTCGCCAAGCTCTTCGCCAACTTCCGCACGCAGTGGGCACTGCTGGACCTCAACTGCAAGGGTCTGAGCGCACTGGGCACCGCTCGACCTCAACCTGGGACCTTCCGAGCTCAGTGAGCACCGCTGGACCTCAACCTGGGACCGTCCGAGCTCAGTGAGCACCGCTGGACCTCAACCGGGACCCTCCGAGCACCGCTGGACCTCAACCTGGGACCCAGCTCAGTGAGCACCGCTGGCCCTCAACAGCCAGATAGAATGCCAGAAGATATGCCAGATAGAACGCCAGATAGAGTGTCAGAAAGACTGCCAAAAGATATGCCAGATAAAGTGCCAGAATGTTTGCCAGATAGAAAGAATGCCAGAAGATATGCCAGATAGAATGCCAGAAGGTATGCCAGATAGAATGTCAGATAAAATGCCAGAAGGTATGGCAGATAAAATTCCAGAATGTTTGCCAGATAGAACTCAGAAGATTTGCCAGATAGAATGCCAGATAGAATGTCAGATATGCCAGAGGATATGCCAGATAGAGTGCCAGAAGATTTGCCAGAACATATGCCAGAAGATATGCCAGGTAGAATGCCAGAAGATATGCCAGATAGAATGCCACAAGATATGCCAGATAAAATGCCAGAAGATATGCCAGATAGAATGCCAGAAGGTATGCCAGATAGAATGTCAGATAGAATGCCAGAAGGTATGCCAGATAAAGTGCCAGAATGTTTGCCAGAACATATGCCAGAAGATTTGCCAGATAGAATGCCAGATAGAATGTCAGAAAATATGCCAGAAGATATGCCAGATAGAGTGCCAGAAGATATGCCAGAACATATTGCAGAAGATATGCCAGGTAGAATGCCAGAAGGTATGCCAGATAGAATGCCAGAAGATATGCCAGATAAAATGCCAGAAGATATGTCAGATTGAATGCCAGAAGATTTGCCAGTAACAAAACGTATAGATGTCATGATGGGGATAACTCAGTAAAGTATTTTTTTTTACAATTCTGATGAGGGGGAATTGTCCTCAAATGGTTTGTTTCAGGTCGGTGTGCATAACTACCAGCTAGTTTTAAATGTCTTCACCAGAGGATTTCAGGGTTTTGACGCATACCCGTTGTTAAAATGGGCGGTTATACTCCTTTGTGGCAATTTAATGAAATTTGGAGCGTTCCTAATGGCCGGGGGTACCCCAAAATGGATGGTTTATAATGGAAAATCCAGTTGACATGGATGATTTGGGTGTACCCGTATTTTAGGAAACCTCAGTTTTGAGTTACAAGCAGCTTTGGGGCAAGTAAACCTTGCCGCACACAAGCAACGTCAAATTTGGGTACTTGATCTTGAAAGTTCTGGAAACACTTTGAGAGGCATCGAAGGTGCCTGATGACACCCCGCCAAATACTGTGATATATTGTGTATGTTATACCCCTGTGAAATTCTCATGTCCCTCCATTTTTTTACATTAAAAAAACAAAAAAAACGGTGATTCTACTATTGAACAGAGTCAGAACAGAGTCATTTGTTGGGCTCCATGTTAGACTGTAGGGAATCTGCGTGAGATAGCTGTATTTGTTTGCTTTTGTGCAGTTTATCTCCATTTTGGTGTAGTATATTGATCTCCCAGTTGTGTACTTGTTGAAAACATCCCATTAAAGTGCCACGGTTGGAAACTATCATGTTTGAAATGTGTTGGATATTAGTGGTGTATCCCTCGATTTTGATGACATTTCCTGATAAATTTTTGTAGTCGTTGATCGTTAAGTGGCCGTGTTGGACGACAAGCAACTGCACAACTACCAATTTTACGATATGCTCATTCAATCCGACATGTAGGCTTCCTAAGTCACGGAGGATCCCCAGTCGTCACCATAGGTTTCAATACTAAGTCCTGGTTTCATGATTGGATGACTTGGGGGTACTCCCATTGGAAACCTCTACGAGTCCAATCTTCAGGCACCTCTCCGCCTGAGCCACTCGCGAGGCCTTTGGGATGATTAGATTCATGGTTGACATCCTCAGTTCTCTACGGTTTGTTTATTATTATTATTATACATAAACCACTTACAATAGGTGGTGCCCCCCCAGTTATGTTTATTGGTTTAGATATAAATTTCATATATCAACCATCAACCCCGTTTAAGCTACAGAAATAAACCAATTCGACTCAGGAAATGTTAAGCTAAGCTATGCTGTGCCGATGGCCCCAGCAACCAGCAAGATTCACAGCCGTTGATGATACAAAATCTCACTAACCTCTAGCGCTTCTCAGGGATGATTGCGGCAGGATTCAGATCTTATAGAAAGTTCCAAAGCCAAAGGGATACCCAATGCCCTTGGACGGTGACTGTCATGTGTAATATTGATACTATATATATATGCAAATGTGCAGACAATGGCATAATGGACATGGGACGTCAAATGGTAATTGTTATTGAAGACATTTCTTCACCCTAAGAAATAGCTCCAATGGACAGTGCTAGATCTGTGCATTTTTTTGGTCCCTTATTGAAGCTATGAATCATAGGGGAGTGGGATTATCAGATTACTATCAAACAAAGGAATTTGGATATTGGTACTGTTGCCTACCCTTTGCTGGTTGGTGGTTTGGAACATTTTTTCCATATATTGGGAATAACAATCCCAACTGACTAATATTTTTCAGAGGCGTTGAAACCACCAACCAGTTTTGGCTAATATAGCTATGGAAAATACCCATTAAAATAATCAGCAAACCATCGAAGTAGTGGCCAGTCTCCAAAAAAATCTCTGCGAAATTCACAGATGGCTGTTGTTTCCCGATGATATCCCCATAATATCCCACTAAACAACCCTTACCCTCTGGTAAAATAACATAACATCATAACTATGGAAAATCACATGTTTTAATGGGAAAGACAACTATAAATGGCCATTTTCAGTAGCTTTTTGTATGTTTACCAGAGGGTATTTTTGATGGTTAGATCACCATCTTGACGATGATTCCTCGGCTCCAGGCCAGAAACCGACCAAACGCACTTGGCTGCGACAGATGGAGGCGGTCATTCAGAATGTGTTTTGCCATAGATATCCTTTGGGAAAACTCCTCAATGGCTACGGACGATCACGATTTTTATAGCTAAATCAACCATACATGGCAATGTTCAATGGCTTTGTTTTGTCATAATGTGAGTAAAGCAATAAAGCATTACCCCTATTATGGGTGATGTATGATTGCTTTACAATACATGAGAGGTAACAGTGTGATTGCCATTTTTTGTGGTAAATGAACCACCCCACATTTTTTTTATGGGTGTTATAAACATGTATAGACCATTGGTTTATGATTGCTTTATCAACATCGCATGGATATCATGGGTTTGTTTAAGGTGTTTTTCCAATTTTCCCAATGGGATATCCACCATTTGTGGATTCTTATAGGGACAGTGTTTATTTCTTGGGGGTTGCTTAGGCAAACGGTTTGAGGCCATACATGGATATGGCTGGTGGTCTCAGAAATGTTAAACATGTTCAACCATAGGAGTGGGATGATGATTTTTTCCACTGACTGGTTAAGATTCTTCAGGCCGGTGGCTCAACCACTTCACTTTTCCGTTTGTAAATCATTGGACACGTGTAAATCCTACATGTCTCACCCAAGGCCTTTGACCTCTTAAAGTCTTAGCCATTTATTTAGACCATGAATGCGGTAAAGAGAAAATGCCAAAACCCTTCCAAGTCATCATCCTTTATGGGTGTTCTAAACCATCCCTACTTGGTGCTTCATCCTCGGTTAGTTCACCCTAGGGATTTCCCACGAGGCGTTTTGTAGGGGCAATCTCCACTGAAAAAACATCCAGAAAAACTAGGGTAAACTAAGCCACTTACGATTCCTGGGATGAAGCTCCAAGCAAAGTTTGCTAGTTGTTTATGGCAGGCTGAAGCCGGTAGCCCCGGTAGCCAGGCCATGCTGCGCTTATCTCAGGGTTGTCGCGCCCGAGGCGCCCAGAGGCGCCCCGATCATCGCTGATCCACGCATTTTGGGGGATGGGGAGGATGGGGAGGGTTGGAAACAGAGAAAGATTCGGTGTATGGATGGATTTGACCTGGGTTAACTATAGGATGTATGGATGGATTTATGATGATTTATGGTGAATTGAATATATCTATAGTTAGATGGCTCAACAAAATGGTTTACCCTTCATTTTGTGGATGGTTTTATGATGTTTTATGTCCTATGTCCATGACCAAAAGTCATTGTGGAACAACGGTGGATTGTTTTCGAAGTTGAGTCATCCATCTGGTCGGAGAACGCCAGGCCCAAGTCGAGGCCGCCTCTTTGTGGATGACAAGCCATGACAGATCATAGTTAAGTTATGTTAAGTTCATAGATCTGATCTGATAAGCAGTATGAGTGCTGTATGTAGGTTTTTTATTGAACATGATTTTTGACTTGTGTTTCCATCAGGACTTGGGCTAATGTTCGCCAAGTGACATGTTGAAACTTCAGATGTTCGGCCGAAGGATGCTTGGGACGTGTTACTGTGCATCCCAATGGCCATTATAATGGGGACATGGTAATTAAGAAGGTGACAAAAACTATGATTCAGCGTTGACTCACATTAGATTTGGTGGTACCATGTGGTACCTGTATCTGATGTTCAGACATCTAGACAATACATGACAATACTGTCTGGTTTGCGGGACAAAGATGTGTTTTCCTATGTATGTTTCCCTCAAGCACATGATACATACAACTCCAGTGCTTGGAACGAATGGAGCTACAAAGCTAGATTAGCAGAAGGTTGAATAGATAAAAACCTGTACTGCTATTTGCACAATCGTTGTAGATCACCAAATTCCTTCAAGAATCATCTGAGATGGTTTGTCGTCACGATCCCTCCACGTTTGGATGTGGCTTCGTACTCTAAGATTTGCGGCACAGCGGTGCCCCAAAGTTTGGGCTTAACGCGCTGTTGGCTTTGTTTTTTTTCGCGGTGTGCGAAGGTCTGCTGGCAGAAAAAGGCAGCGGGAATTTGGAATCGCCAACTGTCTAGGTGCTTTTCCGATCTAAGTCTCTTCCCCCAGATAGGTCTAGAGCTGAAACTGCGCTGCTTATTTCTGAAGTTCATGCAGGTGCGGGTATTTGATATTATGGGGAAGTATTAAGTTAAAGAGAAGGCAACTGCACGAAGGATTCGATGTTGCACGTTCGGCGGGTCGCGCGCAAGCTGCTCAAGTAAAAGATAACTGGAGTTGCATGACACAATGACCTCAAATGACTCACATTGCAACTAGTTGATGCTATAACTGAACCTGTCAAGTATCAGTTTAACCTCACCCAAGCATAGTCTAACCATATCATCCATGTCCAAGAATCGCCGCATGGAGCCATGGAACTTCCATGGAACTCCAATACACTTGGGAGGGAATCCACTTCAACTCCTCAAGTCATTTGGTGTGCACCTGCTGTGTGGCCATTGGGCCATGCGCCTTTCCTAAGATGGCAGGACCTTGGGAGCCATTGGAGCCTTCTGATGCTTCTGATGTTCAAAATCCACTATATCCCCACTTATATCCACTCAGAGGCCGGTCAGAGGCCTGTCAAAACAAGCTAAAACAAGCCCTCCTCGGCACCTGCGCTTGAGGACTGGTGAGACATGAGCGACGCTTTGGAGCAATTGGTTTGGGTCACCCAGTGGCCATGAACCGCCGGCAGCGGTTCTCGCCAAAGTGTGGCCATGTTTATTTGGAAAATGATTACTAAGCAGTGGATGGAATGGGGTACCCATGAGCAGACAAACCGAAGTAGATTTCACCAATCATTAGTCGTGTTAAGCATGTTGGTACCTTCAACTTTTGAATTTGTTGATGCTGTTCCGAATAAGATCCATATTCCCACGGTCTTTTTGATTATATACCCTCCAGTAAGTTAATATAAGTCATATATGTAGAAAAAACACACCATGTGCGGATCACTTCCTTGGGAACCCGTGGTTTTTCTATATCCACCTTAGGTTTTAAAGGCTACATTGGCTACATTGGCTACATGTTTGCTCCAAGGCAGAAGTACGAGCAGCTCAACGTGCGCTGGCTCTCGAGGTGGGGACCTCAAGAGCTGCAAGGACCAACGAATCGCCATGGATATTACTAAGAATCTCCGCACATTTATATACCATCCATCCTTATCTATCCTTATCTATCCTTATCTCTATATCCTTCCTTATCTATACTGTATATCCTTATCTATCCTCATCTGAAAGGTTTGTGGATGATTGTAGGCAACTTTGCGGGGACTCTAACATTGTCCATTTTGTTTAGTCGTGGGGGGTTGTGGAACCTCGAATCCTTTGGGGTGTGATTGCTGGGTGAATTATTTCTCCAAATCAGGTGAATCAGGTGAATCAGGTCATCTATAAATTGGCCGTGTTTCACGGTGGGCGATGTAACTTAAATCTCTAGGGGTGTCTGGGGTGTCGTTTCGGTGGCACTTTGCCAACAGATCCTCGCCACCAGGTGGAGAACAGCAGATCGGCGCAGCAGCGAGAATTGGAAGGACCAGCTTTTTGGAAAGACCGCAGATATGGTTTCCCTTAAATGTTGGCCATTTTAGGAGCCACTGGTGTATCCCAAGTCATCCCAAGTCGCGAATCCAGATGGATGTTATGAGATAACACCCCCGTTAGTTATGTGACAACATGTGACAACAAAAACCACAGAAAACCCACCATTCTATTTTGTTGATTACTAGGGCAATCTTAGATGGGTAGAAACTAATCCTAACTAGTCTTTTGGTATCAATGGGATTATCTATTAACCAGCATTTTTTTTTGTGCTGGGTATCTAAGATTGGCCATGATTAATTTGAGAAACCCTGGTTGCTAAGAATCTACCAAACTTGGGGATGGTTTATACCACCCATAAACATGGTAACATCAGGGGATGGTCTACTATTGGGTTTGCTTTATTAAACCCAAAAAAATCCATGAATCCATGTCATTTACACGTCACATGGATCCGGTGAGATTTTTCTGTTGCTGAAGTTCTACCGTGGTCTTCAAAGTGTTCCGGCAACACTTGTCTAGTTCAATTACCATGTTTATATTGTGTATATGAATACATATGAATACATATGATTGGTAAGCAGAATAGTGTTTCATAGAAACCAAATTTTGATTTCAAATAAACCAAGTAAATTCCAGTAGTCTTTCAGTCTTTCACAATAATAGCGAAGAATTAGACCGCAAGAAATGGCAAAGACATGCAAATTGGTAACACCTCAAACATTGGATTTGGTTCTCCCAGACCCTCTGGACCTTCAACGTAGCTATGGAAACTTACAATCCTATCAATCATCGAAGTAAATGGGCCATAAATATATATATATATATACATATGGTGGTGTCCTAAAATAGGGGTACCCCTAAATCCTCTAGAAATTAGTAGGGTTTTCCATGAAATAAACCATCCATCTGGGGATACCCCTATGGAAACCCACATATCTAGACCATAGCTATGTCATAGCACAGGCCTTGCGGCCTCAGCCCTGGAACTCACCGAAGCCTTGCAGCAGCTCTCAGATGAGGCGGGCCAGGCGGCCGCGATTGGTTGATTCCTGGGTAAATTACCCTCTGGTAATTTAACATAGCTATTGAAAATGACCATTTATAGTGGATTTTCCCATTGATTTCATGGTGATTTTCCATAGTTATGTTAGTTTACCAGAGGGTATAACGACCGAACCCTGTTCTCCCGAACCCTGGGAAGAATGGCCGCAAGATTCAGGTTAGTGAAATATTATAATTTACCCATATAATATATATATAGGGGATCGTCAGAATCCATGAGAAATGGGGGAATTATCAGAATGAAAACCCTATTGGTTGATATGATATATTGGGAAATCTATGAACATGTTACAATCCATGGGCAATGCTATCAACTAGGCAGTGTAACGGGATGACATAGGGATTATTTTGGTATAGCTTAATTCTATCTTATGATTATTGACAGCCCCATTTTTGGGATGGTACTGAAAAAAACGGGACTTTGTGGCTTTGGCAACCCATTCTTGGCCCAAAAACCCAAATGGTAATACGGTATGTAGCGTAACGGTCCACATTCGAAAAAGCCCAGCTACTGGATGATGAAGACACGTTCAACAGAAGGGCTTACCGTAAAAAGTTACCCAGGAATCGTTTATTATAAGTTTACCGTAATAGCTTTACCACAAAAAACGCAACGGACTTTCCTGAAAGAAATGCGGTTTGTGTTTCTTAACATTTCTGGAAACATAAAAATGGATAAACTTTTCAACATGGCCAACATGGAAATGTATCATCAATCAACCTTTACCAAACATTTCAGGAAACATTAAACTACCATAATTCAATCATCATTTACCAATCATTTACCAATCATTTACCATTTACCAAAATTTCAATCATTTACCAATCATTTACCAATCGTTTTACACATTTTTCAGGTTGAACGTATGCGGCTGGCCGACAAAGCAACGAAGCAAGGCTGAGCGCCGCGGCGCTTCCCGGGACCTGGCGGCCGCGCGGCGCCGGTACCTTGAAAGCAAGAAGTCGCTGGTTTCGACTTTAGTTGTTCATGTGTGTATAATTATGTATATTATATATATATTATTACTATTATTCTAGCTCCAAGTTACCCAAATTCAGAAAATGTACATATACTATGAATCCATCGTACTCCAGACCTGTCTCTTTGGACCCACTGTTTTCCCAACCTGTTTCCCTGTGTGTGACATGTTTCACACCTGTGAAATGACTGGTTGCGATGGGAAGACCTTTCAGCTCAATTTGGAAATTGTTTGGCACCATGTCGATGCCTTGTGTTGTTCCTGAAATGCTATGGAGCCTGGATGAGCTAAAGCGTGTCCTGATAAGTGAGTTTCCCATTTTGGAGACTGAAGAAGGAGAGGGTTTCAAAATATTGTTTGACTTGTTTGTTGAGTGGGCTGAAATCCTGTTAAATTACAACAACCAGCATCCGCTCGCTCTGTTGAATTTGGGGAATTGTGGCCCAGAATCCTTCTCTCAGGGGATTTCCGGCCGCGCATACTCATGTCGCATCGCACTCGAGGGGTGTCATCGCACCACAGAGGACCCCATCGCACTCCACACACCTACTCACAGATCATCGTACTCCACAAAAGGGATCGTACACCAGAAAAACTTGCGCAGACAGCCAAAAACATTTTTTTTCGAAAAATTGACCTGAAGAGTTTTTTTTATTTTTTTTCCTCTTCGGAGGTAAAATGCTCTGGAATCTGATAATATGGAATATGGGGGAAATTGTTGTTTTTCCAGCGTTTTGAGCAGTCGCGCATACAATCGCATTCCATGAAATTTTGATACTTTTGACCTGTGGAGGCTATGGAAATTCTCGATTGTTGTCTTAGTCGTGCGCGATAGAGTGTGATGCCTTGTGGGTATGTGGAATGGAATTTGCAGCCTCGATTTGGTCAAAAATGATATTAACATATGCCTGAGAAGCCCACATGCAGGAACGGCAACGCATACGGGGGGGGCATCGTACTCCAGGGGTGGCATCCTACTCAATGTAACTGTATTAAGTGGAAATATGGTACCATTTGGGTTCGAGGAAGAACAGCGTAATCCAGACTTGGCCCCGTTTACAGATGCGGAAGCTGAGCCGCCAGCCAAACGCGTCAAAAAATAAGCTGAACAGCTTATCCAATGGTCTTAAAAGATCATAGAGGGAAGTTGATGATTCATGAGAGAAACAAGACTTAATGATTATGTTTATTCAAGAAATCATTGCTTGAGAAGGTTCTCAGCGGGGTTAAACATGTGCGATTGGACATGACAGCACGTGACAAGGGAGCGCCTGACAAGGGTCACACAACCTTATTCTCATCATCAAAGGTCGTTCATTATTTTCCAAATTTCCGGAGCTATTTTTGCATGGGATATGAACAGCCTTGGAATATGGGTAAGGTTTTGCTAGAATTATTTTTATTTTTATTGTTATTATAATATATATATATATCTATTATTGTTATTTATTTTATTTATTATTATTATTACTATTATATATATAATAGAATTAAATAAATATATATATATATATGATATTTACATGGTGCAATGGTGCTAGTTAATCTCTGAATATGACATTTTTCCAGAAACAATGAATAGAAATTGGTAGTGAAACATTACAGAACATTGATTTAAGTGTGGTATCACTGATTTTGGGATGTATGATGAGTGTAGTAAAGCCAAGTGTCATATGGAACTATATACCATCTGGTTATGACCAACATAGCCATGGAAAATCACCATTTTTAATAGGTAAACCATCTATAAATGGGCCATCTATACCATGGTTATGTTAAATAACCAGAGGGTATAAAATGAAAACAACAAGATGATATTTGGATATATTTGGTGTAAATGATGTTCTAAACTTGGAATCCATGGAGTTACCAGAGTTTTCTGTCCAGAATGGAACATGATCAACCGGTGATTTGAGATGGTTATTGTCAATGCCTTGGTGAACTTTAGGGGGAACAGTCACTAACATATCTACTGTAGCCTCAAGTTGTTGAAACCACAGTAACGTAACCAAAAACCACCAATAGAATTTTGGACACATGGAGATATAACCAACAGCTTATAGCGAAAGATCACAGCTAGATATATCAATGTGCACCCTTAGAGGACCAAGGGACAGTTAGTAACTTGTGCACCCACCGTGACAGTTAGTAACTTGTGCATCCACCGTGACAGTTAGTAACTTGTGAACTTGTGACAGTTAGTAACTTCCAAACCAGGAGATCTTAATTATGTACTACGACAATTGTAATCAACACTCCCATTCGATCTACATCACACCATATCAGCTTAATCACCCATGTAAGCCTCACAAAGCACAACGCCAAGGGCCAAAATGGCCGAGTCCATCTTGGAAGGGTTCACCACGTCATTGCCATGATGTGAATGTGATCAAAACCGAAGTGACATTGAAATTTACTGGTTTAAGATGCATTAAGATGCATGTGTAACATCCAACGTAACCCTTTGTGTTGCACTCAATTTAATTGTGCTTTGATATAGTCTGGCGCTGAACCTTGGTGGATGTCCCATCCAAGGTCCTCTGAGCTTCATATGGAGCTACTTCTGGCGCAGGCAGTGTGATGTTGTAGTGTTGTTTCGGGCCGTCCATGTTCGCAAATTCTTGGCAAGGTACATCATGTTACTAATCTGTTGAACCTGCTGATATAGGATATGTATATTATGTTGATTATAGCTGTATACATATATGCATGCATGCATCCATCCATCCATCCATACAGTTTGTGTATATGATGTATATGTATATATGTGTACATCACTGAAGGTAACTGCTGGGCAACTGCCACACGGTCCCAGAGTCCCCTGGGAGGTGTGTATGAAACGATTGTGGGACTTGAACTGACCTACTTGAGGCTTAGGCATGCAAGCAACCAGCACAGAATCAGTGATGTTGGGGATCCAGGGCGAAGGTTCAATGAGTTTTTACAAGAAATCGGGAAATGCCCAATTGATCAATTGCCCATTACATTCGTTTATAACAACGGGAACTACGGTTTTTGTTTGTTTCGAGTGATAACAACAGAGGCATCAAACACAAAGTTCATGGCGAGTATATACAATACAACCTGGCCCCTAGAAGTCCTGATTCAGTATCGGGATTCCGTATGATGAATATGTCATTGGGTGATGGGATTATTATTTCAAAGATGTCAGTCAGATTCTCTAGAGTCTCTACAGCCAGGCAGATACAGATGGTGGGGCTTCCAAGATGTGCCAAGATCTGGATGGGTTGCAATGTGGCCATAGCTATTCTCAGATTCTTAAACATGTTTAAACACTCCATTTTTTGGGCGTCAATGATTTTGAACAGAGTCCACAAGTGCCATAATTCATGGGACTTTGAGTCCCTTGATCAATGCTCAAGTTTGGCGACATGTTTTGCTACTCCCGCCGTGCAAGAAACGGCCACAAACATATGATTGACATCGTCAGATCCTTCATGGTGATTTGTTTGCCTCCACACCTGGTAGTTCCAAATCCTCCAAACAGAATGGGAGTTACCAAATATGTTCCAATTTCCGATCTTGGCAGATATAGGAGTCCTCAACATGTTCCAAGATTTTCCAACACCACCGAGGAGACTGTCAAGACGC